CTCCTCCGCCCCGGCCGCCGCAGCGCCAGTCACCAGGACCCGCGCACGTCCCGCTCGGGCTAGTGGGGACGGGGCGCCAGCCGGGCAGCGCAGGCAAAGTCTGAGTGGAGATCCCGCCGCCGCAGGTCTCGGCCGAGAGCAGAGGGTCCGGGGTCAGCCCAACACTAGCGGAGCCAAGCGGTGCAGTAAAAAACGGCTGCAGCCAGTGGCAGGACCAGGGCGCGCGGGGCTCTGGACTAGCGACCAGCTCGGCCGCCGCCGCCGCCGCCGCCGGAGCCCTGCCCCTCCCCTCCCCCGGAGCCTGACTTCACTCCGCCGCCGGCGCGAGCCCGGCGTAATTCACACTTTGCAGCCGCGGACCCTGCGCCAACCACGGCCGCCGCCACCGTGACGTCACGACGCCGCGCCGCAGGCCCCGCGCCCCGCGCCGCCGCAGCGCCGGGGGAACAGGGCTGGAGACGAGGCTCTGCCGCTTTCGTCCTCCGTCGCGCCCTGCGCTCCAGCCAGGTCCGTTCCCGCCGCACGCATCCCTTCCCTCTCCCCCGTTGCGCCCCACAGCTGCCTCCTCTGCCCCCCCCAGCATCCGAGGGCGCCTGCGCGGGAAGCGGGGTGTCCCAGTCAGAGCTGCGTTCTAGTGTTGGAGAACTCTGAGGTGTGGGGTGGCACCGGCCGGCGCGAGAGGCGCCGTTTCAGCCCGGCGACGCCGGAAACCCAAAGCACTTGGCGCCCTTGGTGGGCTCAGCCCTGACCGCGAGGGGCAAAGCCAACTTTCCCTCCTTAAAGGCCTATTCTTGGGCTCCGCTCGTGACCGCTGCGGCAGTGACGTCAGCGGACCTCGCGAGCCCAGTCCACCCAGCTACGTCACTGCCCGGACAGTGGTGGAGCGTGTCGTCAGGGTTACGGGCCTCGGGCAGGTGAGGCCCGCAGCCATCCAGGCTAGCCGGGTGGAGAGGGGAGGAGAACCCAAGAGTGAGGAGGAGGTCTTTGGATGGAGGGAAAGGAGATTAGAGAAAAAGTAGGAGCATGCAATGAAAGAACAATGAGGAAGGATGGTGTTTAGAAGACGAGGAGGGGAGGGTATGAAAGCAGTATTCTTGCTGACAATGGTTTTTGTTTTTAGCTTTTGATTTTTAGGGAGTGGCAGAGATGAGTTTCTGAAATATTTGGTAAGCTAGATATGTAAATAGTGTGTTCGTTTTCACATTTCTCCTCAAGCCACCAGTTTTTCAGCAGGAATTTGTTCCTCAAGCTTTTCAGCCACTGATACTTCAACCTAAACAAACTGCTCTGGCAAAGGCTTATATGGCTCAGATCTCAAAGATCTTCTACCTTGCACTTATTTTGGATGATGGACACTGGCAAGGTAGCAGACCTTTGATAGCGTTGCGCAACCTGTGACTAATGATGAGATCGGGTACCAAGTGCACATGATTCCGTAAGAGAGAGATTTTTTATTGTATTCCCATGGCATCTCTTTGTATTATTTCTACCATACCTCCTCTGTGTTTTCCTACCTGACTGCCTTCACCATTAAAAGCTCTATATCCCCCGTAATGATAGTATCAACTTTGTCTCCACCAGATGGTGAAACTCTCAGTAGTACAACTAAGGCACCTGCCTTTAAAACTATAATTACTGCTATAATACCTGGTATATCTATTGAGCATCTACTATATGCCTGGGATTATGCTGAGCATATTCTGGTTATCACTTTTAATTCACACAGCTCATAAGGCAGTTACTAGTATCTAAATTGAAAATACGCCCATAGTAACAAATTTGCCCCACACCTTACACATTTAAGTGGCAGGAACTAGCATCAAGTAATGTTTGAGTTCTGTGTACAACTACCCAGAAGATGGTGTTAATGTGATATTAGTGTATGTCAAGTAAAATAAACATATAACATGTAATAGCATCTAAGAGACTCACTTTGATAAAATAATTTAATAAAACAGCACTAAGAAACTAAACAGTGCATCTTCTGTTAGCATAGTAGGTTACTGTGCACTTGGTGTGAGCCAAGAACCATGGTACATATTCTAAATACAATGTTTCCTTTAACTGAACACAGAAGCCATATATGTTGGGTAATTTTATCCCAAGTCTATGGATGAAAAATGAGCTTCAAAGAACATAAATTATTTTCCACAGTGAATTTTTATCTATGATTTCAAAGCCATGCATTTCTCACCATATTAAGTAGTACCTCAAGACCAAAATGTCATCTGTTTTCAATGTTTTTTATTACGCTGTAAAGTGTTATTAGTTACAGCAAAGCAGAGAACCTATAATGTAAAATATATATCTCATATATGATATTACACAAAAAGATTTAAGGAACTGTACTATAGTTAAGGAACTTTACTGTCCACTGTTATGCACCCTGGTGAGTCTGAAATCTATAAGGCTGGAAATTAAGCGTTGATGTTACAGTCTTGATTCTGAAACCTGTACAGCAGACCAACAGACCAAAAACTCAGGTAGGGTTTTTGTGTTTGGAGTCATGGGACAGAATCACTACTTCTTCATGAAATTTGAGTCTTTGCTCTTAAGACCTTCAACTGATCGGAGGAACCAGCTCGCTTTCATACGGGTAATCTGCTTGAAATCAACAAGTTTTAAGTGTCATTTTTGTCCACAAAGTGCCTTTACAGCTGTATCTTTTTTGTTTTTTTTAATGTATTTAGTTGTTGCAGGATCTCATTACACAGCTTGGACTCGTGGTGATCCTCCTGCTTTCAGCCTCTCCAGTACTGGGTTTACAGGCCTGTGCCACTATACCCAGTCTCTGGCCAGCTCAGCCCACCTTGGGGGAAGGGTTTACAGCTATATCTTAAAGGGTTTCACCAAACAACCAAACATTATAGCCTAGCCAACATAAAATTAATCATCACAGAAAGCAAACTCTAAATAATGAAAAATTCATTACCTAAAGCTGCAAAACCAAAAGTGCCTAAGAATAACTTAGGATACAAGACTCATTAGAGGAAACTTACATTGGAGAAGTACAGAAGTAGACTTGGATGTTAACCAAAATATTGATAAACCTTTGAATAGGAAGGTTTAGCTTACTAAAAATAAAAATCAATTCACACTAAATGACTACACTTTTGGGCTGGGGAGATAGCTCAGTAGAATAAGCGCTTGGTTGGCAAGTGCAAGGGCCTGAGTTCAATCCCCGCTTCCACCAAAAAAAATAACTACACTTTTAACATGACCTGTATGTAGTTAAACATTTAACTAGGTAAGGTGACTATGATCGTATGGAAAAAGGATATTAAGTTGTAAAGTTACCCAGGAAGATTATGAACAATAAGAACAACCCAAAATGAATATCTGTTAGGGTTGGTTCAGAGAATCAGAATTGCTAAAAGATACAGAATAAAAGATTTATTGAAGGGGTTTCTTATTTATTAAAATATTATAAAGTGGAGTGGTGAAGGTTATGAAGGTTATGGGATCACAGCACACATACAGAATCAGGACCAAGAACAGGAAATTTGTATGTGTAAAAAAGACTGTTGCCTTACTGTCTGTTAGTGGGTTTGAAGACAGGTGTAAGTCAGCATTGCAGGCGAATGGGAAGAAAAGTTGGGTGGGTGCTGAATGAGATGAAGCTTGGATGAATTAGAATCTATGAAGAGACACTGGCACCCATGTCTTGCATCTACCCTAAGTGACACATGACATGCAGAAGAGTACTCTTCAGTAGCTCTACTGGTAGAGCGTTGAGCTACAGACCTGACAAAAAACTGGTGCCTGTACCCAAGGAATTACATGTGCCTGTTGCTGGTTGCAGAGAAGCTGGAGAAGCTGCAGGCCCTGTGACTGCTCCTTGACAATGAAATGAGTCAAGTCAGTGAATATGTAAAAGTTCTCAAGGTACGTGGGATACGCATAGATCTGTGGGTAATTATTCCACATCTACTTTTCAAATCTTAAAAATTTCTGTTGTCAACCAAAAAGGAAAGAGAGTATTCTGGGAAATGTTTCAGCTTAGCAAAAGTTAGCAATATAAAACCGTCCCTGATTACCTTGACCTTCATACACATTTATTTATATTTAATTTTCAAATAAAGCCCATAGTAGAAAGGTACTTCTGCCTGTAAGATGTGACTTTTCCCTCGTACAACCAAAATCAGCCCACCCCCTTCGATGTAGATGCATAGTTCCTTGAGTGATGTTCCTTCCTCCTCTTGATAGGTCCCTGTGGATACTTAGATGTTCAGAAACTTAAATACTAAGCTGTAAGTCTACCTACTTTTTAATGATGAACTGTAATCATGTGATATATGAACATAGAAGAATGAGAGGAAAACAGTGGTTAATAGATGCACAGTATACTTATAATATAGCATAAATATATCAAAATGAAGGAAAGTGCTCATAACTACTACAGACCTTGTGTCTGCAGCTGGTGATGTCATAGTTACTACTATCTGCCTTCTTTCTTTTCTATTCCATTTTATATTTCCTTGTCATCAGCAAACATCTTAGCTGGTTATGGCTTCTTGTTTTATGGGGTGACCTAACTTTCATTCCTAAAGGGTTTGAGCCTTTACAGTAGAAACTATTAAATTGTTATAGCTTCCAGTTAACTCATAATAGAGCCTAAGATTGCTAAATACCAAGTGGTATCGCCAAATAATTTCTTATAATTTCTGTGGTCTATGCATTTTCCTTCCATCTTCTAGTGTCTAGTACCTTGATAGGGTCCACCAAATTCTGTTTGATAAGATCAATCATTCCAGGTATTACAATAATCTCCTTTTGCTGATTACACTAGCTGTCAAATGACAGTCTCAACTTCCAGTTTACCTAAACTCATACTGAGAGCAGTCTTTGGGAGATGCCCAAAGTTGTAAGGATGTGAAATAAAATT